GCTTACACCCGGTCTCACCCGGCGTCCCATGGTAGACAAAGCTTTCTTGTGCCAACCATACATGCCGAGCCCTAAAGGTAGCGAGCAATGGCAAGCAGGTTCTGGAGCGAGTGCCATGATCTCAAACAAAATGGATGGAAGGTACAACGTACGCCACTGGGGCCCGGATGAACAATTCATTCAGATCGGAGACCCGGCACCGATTGCTGCTGTAGGGAGTCTAGACCTTAGGTTCCACCAAATCGGAGCCGACGGGAGGCGGGAAGAATTAGACATCACTGCTGTGCCAGAAGTTCTGTTTGTGCCCGGGTGTGGCTTTAACCTTTTCCTGGTATGGAAGGCACCTCACAAGCATGAGGTCCGGATTAACCCCAGCGGCACTCAACTGTTGCACGGCTATCTACGTTTCGTTCGGGGCTTGTCCAGTGATACACTATTATGCAACCCGCCTTACCCGCCTTCCCCACCAAGATGCGCCTCTTGCGAATGCTGTGCGTGAAAGTTCTCTGAGTGCTGAACCCTCCAGACAGTGGGCCAATGACTGCATGATGAGCATTTTCCCGTATGCTTTGCAGCTTTTAAGTGTCTGCTTGCCCGTTGGATTCGGAGTATGAACACCCCCGTGCGACGGATGTTTCAGCTGAGTGCTCTGCAAGGATGATCGACGTGTGGGAGGGTGAAAGAGCGTGACCGTGTTTTGGCTGTGTTGGATCCTGATAAGATGCCTTTCAATGTCGGGAATGCAACAACAGTTACGGATGTTTAACACGTCCCACAACCGTGCCGGTCGCTTGTCCGAACCCATCGTGAGGTTGTCCGCGAAGCAACACGGGATCACCCTCACGGGCAGGATGGACAGCTACCGTTGGTGCTTGGCCGGCGCGAGGGACGAGGGCGCCGTTGCCGAAGCAGGGGGGGCGGGTACCGCGGCAAGAGGGCGCCGAACGATGCGAGCGGCGGCTACACGGCGACCATCGGCGGCAACCACTACATGCTCTTCGGCGTGGACGCCGCTACGGGCTGGATGGTCTGCTATGCCATGCGGCGGCGAAGTCGGAGGCGCTGGCGGTCTTCAAGCGCGTGGCCGTGGATGCCGCCCACAAGGCTGGTGGTACCGCGATCAAGTGCATCTGGCGCGACTGCGACGCCCTCTGGACCAGCGGCGACTTCAAGGTAGTTCTATGCCAGCATGGGGATCGCGCTCGA